ATGTGGTCCGTAAGCCACTTATACTCAGAACAAGAAAATGGCTTTCTTACAAGCAAAAAAAAAAAAAAAAATCCCTAGTCATTTTCTTCGAACCTCTCCCCTACTATTTCATGCTTTCCTCCAACTTCTCCCTTCTTAGTCAGATTAGGTAGCTGACCTCTTTAACTATGACTAACTCTTCAACACAGCCGTCTGCATAACGCTTTCCAGCACATGGTGTTTACATTTAGAAATAGAAATGATTTTCTTGCATTGTAAGTCAACAATAACTATCCAAGTCTCCAGGGCAAAGACATCAAAAGAAAAGCAAAAGTCCATAATATGTTATATTCACTCTGTCATAGGCAGCATTTACTAGTAGGCTGCATAGATCAGACTCTCAGTTCTTCTCCAAGAGGTACCAAGTCTTTAAGCCATGGAAGCCCAAGATGCCCTCAGAGCTGGCCATGCCAAGCCACAAAGCCAGGCCACTGCCTCCTTCTGCAGCATGCTCTGATGGAAACATGCAGGTGCTGCCAGGGACCAGCAGGGAAGTGAGGAGAGTGTCTATGTAAGTGAGCAAATAAGGAAGGAAAGACATGAAGCCATTCCTTTGCATGTCCCTAGCAATTTGGGGAGCAAGGAAGGAGAGAAAATATTCTCACTCCCTCTCTCAGGGAAGTGTAACCACTCCCTGGGAGAAGCGTTGAGCGTGCAGGCTCCATTCAGTCCTGCAGAAAGAGTTACCTTCCTCACGGGCACCATTGGCTTTCCTACAAAATTGTGTCAGGGAAGAACTTGCCCATTTTAGCTTATTGATATCCTCACCTTATGTCCCGCTCCAATAACCATGCCGTGCTGCCACCAGTCATTGCATTTGTTAAATCTAAGAGGATGTAAGCCCTGAAGAACATGAACCTTGTCTGCTTACCAGACATCAAGCAGCCTGCAGGCAGGATCCGTGCAAAATGCTTTTCCCGCAGTGTCTAGCCTGGGCAAGAAGGGGTGATGCTCTGTCCCCAGTGAAACCCGGCAGCGGGTGACAAGGTAAGCTGGTGACATTGCTTGCATCAGGTAACTTATGCCAGTAAAAGGTCTGGCTTCACACAGTGGACAGCCATGAAAAAACCCCACAATTTAATGGGAAGTTATTTGTCATGCTAATGGTCTTACTAAATAACACCACTATAGAACCGTAAGCAAGAGACTGGTAATGAGCAAGTCAATGTTATCATTTGCTCTCATTTTGCAGGCTGACTCAGGACCAGCTCTTCATTTTTTATTGTAAAGGAGAACAGATTAAAGAGATGTATAAGGAAATCAAAGTAATTAGGCATATAAACAAGCTGGCAAGTAAACAATTGTGATTCAGTGAGGCAACTGTCAACCTTTAAAGGCAGGGTGGTACACATTTGTATTATTATTTTATTTTCAGTCTTATTTTATCTCATTTTAGACTGCTCCCAACATGATCATTAGCATCCTTACAAAGCATGAGACTGAGCTGAGTATGTGTTCAGCTCCTGCGCTGCAGGGCTTGCTTTACCCCACCCTGAGGATGCACATTGGAAGAGGCTCCCAGTGACAGTTGCACACAGCTCCCATCGCAGCATTGAAAATTTGGCCACACAGAAGGTGGCCAGCCCTCTCCATGGGTAAGAGTATGAGCTCATCCACTGCAGAAATACGATTAGACAGCACGTTTAGACTATGGCTTTTCTCCCAACTTTCCCAAAGTTTGGGACATAAAACTCCTGGGAGGAATCCCTCCCCAGGGATGATCTCAACATGCAACCCAGGTTAGCATAGGCTCGTGAGTCAGCAGCTGGATTTAGGATCTGATTCAGCCCATTTAACCTTCAGCATTTAAGGAAGCACTCGGTTTAGTTTTCACTAGTGCCCCATGTAATCAGCACAGAGCGATCAGCACCTCTGTGGTGAATGATCTCAGGTCTCGTAGTCTCTCTGTGAAGAAGTGGGACAGTACAGCAATTCTGAACGCTAGTTCATAACTGTATATTCATTTGAAGTGACTCATTCATTTTAAAGTCAGCATTGCCTAAAAATTATTTCCAACTCCCCAAAACATGGACTGCTACCATTTTTTTAAACTAATTCAGCTTAATACACCATTCAGAAACCCACACCATTGCTCTGCAACTAAGACTAGTTATGCTCCCAAATGTTACAGTACCCTGACTCCACATCTGCTGAAGATATGATGCAGTCTCTGATTTTCTGCTGTAGTCTACCATGATTAATTTTAGTCTATGCAAGTGGGCAGCAGAATGAAGGGAGAAGCAGTCATGGAAGCCAGAATCTGTATCCAACTACGGGAAGATTAGCAGTACCTAAACACAATAATGACTCAGCAGGCAATATATGAAACAAGTAAACATTAGAAATAGCACATCCCAAGTAGTGCACGTAGCATATCCCAAACTGTGGAGCTAGCAGATAGGGTATTCTCTACTAAGGATTAATGTGCCAGAGGGAACCCCTGTTTAACTCTGGTTTTGGTCAAGGATTTTATTAGTGTATGATCAGTTCTGTGCGTACAAATGCACTCCTTAAAGCTGTCATCCATCTGCATAAGCACATGGGCAACTTTAATACATGGATGTGTAGATATAATAAATACATTTTTTCCTAATGATTTTTCCATATGAAAAATCAAACCCTAAAGGAGCACGCAGGCAGCAGAATGGATGGAGTATGCAGGCAGTGGCTGTGCCTGAAAAGATATATGGATATGTGTGTTTGTGTGAATTCCTATCTGCATTAATTCATGCCCACAAAACCTTATGTGCTATATGAGCCTAGAAGAGCAGATCTGAAAAAAACATTTTGTACCTTATATCCATTATGTACTTTTGCTGTCAACTCACATGCTGAGATCGTTGCAGTAACTGGGAAACCTATGATGACATAAAAGTCCTCAATATAATCTATTATAAATTTGTAGCTAATATAATTTTTAAAAGAAATATTTATAGAAATAAATTTTCTAATAAAAAATAATTTTGATAAAAATGAATATTTTGGGAATTTGTTTCATAGAATCAGAGTCTTTTAAAAAAACACAAATACTGAAATTCCCTTTAAACCAAATTTCAGGTTTTGACAAGCTCAGCTGTAAAGAATGGGACAACTGGCAATCTTTGAAACTTCTAACACTTTATGTATAAGAGAAAAGAGGTTGTTGAAGATGAATGTTTACCAGACCATTTTTTTTTTCAAGAAAAGAAAGTAAGACTTTTTTTCATCTGTGACCCAATTCATGTCTGTCTATGTGACAACTACAAACTTTAAATGCAAGCTCTTCAGCATGGGCTGGATCTTACGTCTGTAAAGCATCTAACACACTTTGGTGTGCTAAGTAAATGAATAAAAGAATACCCCCCAAAATGCAAATTATTATTTGCTGTATATTCATAAAGTTCTCAGAAATCTAATAGGCTTTTCAAGTACTCAAAAATACTTTCTTAAAATACCTGTTGTTCTTTGCTAGGAGCAGCTAACATAATTAAAGTATCCACTTTAAGATAGTTTCTTTCATTTTATCCTAAGAGCAATACATTCCCTTCTTGAGACTCATGTTTCCACAAGGCACCTCCCTGGAACAACCTCAAAATCCTGCAAAAAACCCACTCCCTTTGACAGGAAGAGACAGATGGAAGAAAAAGCCCAAACTTAATGGCTTTCAGAAGAAAGGTAGATGCATTATAGACATTAAACCAATCACTACATCAAGACCATAGTCAAAGTATCCAAATTTTGGAGTCTCATCTGGTAGTCCAAAAGGGTTGAGCATGTATGAGCAGCCAACGAGCTCTGTACTCTTCAGAGTTGCATGAGTTTAGGAGTGGTGAGTATTGGCCAGATTTCCTCCTGAAGTCTCCTGCTGTGGTACAACTAGAGCTGAAAAAGTTCAAGCTGAAGAAGGCAGAATTCAGTCCTCAGTACTTCTAAATATAGCTCAGAATTTAAGACATTTCTTGACTTCTGATGACTTTTGCATTTGTCAGCTTAATAGGCTGAATGGAAATAGCAAAAGAAAAAATATAAACTTTTATACTACAAATACACCTTTTAGTAAGACATATTTGTGTATTGAAGGTTGTCAGGAGACAACTTCTCTCTCTAGAGAGCTGCTGTCCATTGCCAGTGAACACTGCAGTGAAACCTGGACGGCAGCAAGTGATGTAAACCTTGACTCACTGTGTTTTCAAAAGGAAAATAGGGCTGCGGTGTGTATTTTGCAGAAAAAGGACACCACACAAGGATTGCTTTCTGTTCCCAGCCCAGGAGCTGCAGAGAGGTCATAGGCGTGTAACTGAGGGCAGTACTTCATCCAGATACCGCAGACCAGAAACTGCTTTCCATTGAGAAACCAGGACTTTATTTTGGGCCCTCGTCAAGCTAGTGCAATGACAATTTCACAGAACAGTAAACTTCACCACAAACTTCAACTGCAGTCAGTATAGTACTTAGGAACAACATCAGTCAACCTCCAGAGTACAAGATTTTGCATTTTACCTTCTGAAATAACCAAGGCACCAGACAATCCTCTTTTTGAAAGCCGGCCCACAAGAGCCAATGGCTGTAGCTGACACCCAACACACTGGAAATACCAGCTCCAAGTTCTGCCTTATAAATGTTTTACTCTAGCTTCTGTTTAAAGTTATATTCTGCCGTCTTACATGTAACACAACGCACACACAGATCCACATAAATCAGTGGGGCTACCTGCCTGCTGAGGCGTTCCCAAATAACCAATGATTTCCTATCGTGAGTTAAGGCACCATGGAAAATAAGAAGGAAGGCGAATAAAACCTGAAAATGTGTACAATTCATACCACAGCAAATGCTGATCTAAAGGCTGTCTACCAGAGACCAACTTTTTTTATTATAACGTGTTTTATAATGGCATACTATCCAATACAACTGCACTAGGTGATCGATAACGAGCATCGTAAAATGTCACAGATAAATAAAGAGCTTAGTGACTGCTCATTTACCTCCATCTTGTGAGTTCATGATATTCAGAGCAAACAGCATTGCATTGGAGAACGTGGTAGCCTCTTCTTTGCTTGCAAAATTCAAGCCATAGACCTGCCGTGCATCGCGCCATTGATGAAAGGTAGGTGTTGCTTGATTGTACTTCAGTCCTTTCACAATTGAGTAATTAATCACTACCTGTGATTTGAAAGAGAGGGATGAAGATTAAAAATAGTTCTTTTTTCAGTGAGGAAAAGAACCCCAACCCTTTCATAAAGGTTAATTAAATTTGTAGAGGCAATTCATATAGCGGCTCCTACACAGCTGTATGGTAAGGCAGTCTGCGTTTCGATGACAGAAGACCCACATCTGGGGGTGAGATTTACAACAGTTCAATTCAGCCTCAGGGACTTGCAAGCTAGCTTTGCAAAATCTATTACCTGCTCATGTTTTCTACAGCACCTCTGCAGGATACAGCTGTGCAGATACTGCAGACAGATGTCAGGAGTCAGGGCCAGCAGCTGTTGCCATCTTTTGGGGGATGATCATGCACAATTGTCAGAAAAAGAGCCAGACAGAGCTCTTGGCACTAACCCTGCCCTACAGCAGATGAATGTTTGACTCATTGCACCGGCTCTGCCTTTCTTCTCCCAGGCGCCTGATCAACCACCAGCTTCTTATGTTGAGAGAGTTTTTTCTCTAGAATCAGATAGGCAATGACAAAACCAGACAACCAAATATTTCCTCTCCCACCTCCTCCCTTGCTGTACACGCTATAATTTCCAGGTAAGGGATGACTGCAGCAAAAGGCTGTTTCTGTATGTTTTGATTTAATCTGCTAAACACGGTGCCCTGTTTATCCTCGGGCAGGGCACGTGGTACACCCAGCTACACAGTACACCTGGGATCTGACCAGAAACCTCCAATGCTAAAAGTGTAAGCTGCTCTAGCTGAAGGTGGAGAGGCAGGAGTGTCTGCTGCACCACTAATAAGCCAGAAGGACCCATGGCAGAGACAGCACCCCTGAGATACCCATCTGTGGACTGACAATGGCACTCTGTTGTGACGTGAACTTAAGAAACAAAATGCCAACAGAAGGGATCATAATCTTCTCATAAACAGGCACAGTGCAGTTGAAAACAGAGAAGGAGTAGAAAATGGAGGCTCCCTCTTCATCAGCCCACACAGGCTGGGGGCAGAAGGGAACCAGGGACAGAGAAACTTAAAATTATGAGCAGGGAAAGTCTGAAGTTCATTATTCAGATATAGCAAATCTGGTTTTGAATATTTGAGATTGTCTCTACAAATGGAGTTATTTTGGCTGGAGTTCTATCAAGAGCCTGAACAATCCCACAATTTCTGGTCCTTGTTGAAAGCCAATCAATGGAATTCCTCCATCAAACTCGTTTGTATGGCTTATCTGCAAATTAGGCAGGCTGGACACTGGTATACAGGAGTAGGAAGAGGGACCTTGGTGCACGCTGTCTGGGATCTCACTCTTACCATCCTGGACTTGGTAAGATGGGAACAACAACTGAAGACAAGGGAACAGAGAGCCAGTAACGAATAAATGCTGTACACATACATGCTGTACACAGGTTTTACGGCGTGGGGGATCCACCTGTGTACAGCATTTATTATTACAGGTGGATCCCACACATCGGAAAAACCTACCAATACATCTTTTTCGCAGTCTGATTGACCAGTACTTTGGAAATTTTTCTGTTAGTACTATTATTGCATCTAAAAAACTCCAACATATATTAGATTAACAATATTTTTGCTAGATGACTGACAATTTTTCTCAAGTATAAAAGCAGAGTTTTAAAACTAATTCCAAAGATGAATGACTCGTAGCTCTGAGTTTTGACTTTTCAGTGGATTGCTAATTCAAATTAGCTGAAAAACATTAGACGAGCACCTAATACATAAGGAGCAAATTGTTTTTCACACATTCCTATTTCTGAAGGATGACATTGTCTCATTGATACAGCTAGTTAACAGATGTCTGATAACTATACTATATTAATACATAAAAAATTACAGAAACCAGCAAAGAAGCCACTACACCAGTAGATAATTACAGATATACTCTATTTCTATAATGCATTTACTTACCTGAGCCAGCATTAAACAGTGACACAGCAGATAGTCTTTGAATACTTGATCTAGCTTTAGGCATAAATTATCCTGATGGTTATTGAACATCAGGTATCTGGTCCAACTGTTGCTCTCAAACCAATATCATTATTAAGTTTCCATGTAAATGAACTTGGCAGCAATCAGACCTACGCTGCTTTTTTTGCCGCATTTCACAGAGCGATTCCTGACCTGTGATCCAAAGGGAGATGCAGGGGCAGCCTACATTTGGTACACAGGCTCCCAAAGGTTGGTCCCCTGAAAATGGGAACCGCATCACCAGCATGCTGCGTGGGAAGCCACCCACACCAACCAGAACAACATGAAAACACGTCACTCTGGTCACAGCAAAGCCATGAACTCACTCTAAGCTGACAGCTTAGATGATAGCCCTTTTCTCTTGAAAAATGGTGACATCATCCCCATTCTACCACTGAGCATTGGGAGAGCCTCTACTGACGTTGCTCACACTCAAGGAGTCCCTGGAGCATCAAGTAGACTCATGCCTGGCTTACTAACCCAACAGTTTCAACATGTACCAATTTTTAAGTCTTCCAACCACTTCTGAGTAGCTTAACCAAGGGAAGGCACAGCCAGGATCTTCAAGGAAATGTTTAGAAAGATTGTAAGCTTCTACCAGGCTTTGCAAAGTGAGCATTTCTCACCTACTAGAAGAATCTTCCGTTTCAAAGGACAGCACTATTGAAGTCCAAAGAGCACCAGAGGGTGCAGTGCAGTTGTATAATGAAAGACAGAAATTGTAAAAACCTATGCCAAAAATCGTTTCATAGAAGTCAGGCAAACTGTTCAAAATTTGCTTTCCCAGAACATCAACACAAGAACTCGGGGAATCCGCTCTGCTCTGAGGGTTTGATCCCTTCAGTAGAATGAAGACAGAATTTGAATGTTGACCTTCAGTAATCATCAGAATGCCTACACGTGTTATACCTTGTCTTCAAACTCAAAACAGAGGGTTTAAAACTGGGAAATATAAAATAGCCAGAGTTTCATTTTATCTCCTTTGGCTAATGCTTCTAAAAAACAGAAAAAAGAGGAGGGGTTCTGCTGCTGTTAAGAATGAGTGCACAAATGTATCTTGTACAGATGGTGTAGAGACTCTGCAAGGCACATGATAATAAGTAAGTGCTTCAGAGCAGTAATTAAAATAAGGTCTCCCTGTTTGGAGCACGGGGGGTGGTGGTGGTGGTACAGGTGTTTCTAAGGGATCTTTACTCTAAGGCTTCATATGCCAGTAAGATAGCATCTCCCATGCTGAGCAGACCAACAGTTCATCTTTTCATCTTCAGTTGTTGTCTCTAATAGGTGAATTGGAGAAACTAACTGGAAATCTTGCAGAAAGAAGTAATGGATTTGTCCATAACAAACAGTTCTTCCTATAACCCTTCACCAAGAGTTTATCTTAAAAGCTGAAACATGACATTTTATGGGCCTATTTTTTTCTTTCCCAACCCCTTTTACTATTTCCTATCCTGAAACAAAGTAGTCTTGCTGCTGATAGAAATGTCTGCGTTGTTTTGAATGCTGTTAAATTCTGGATTTCAATGATCTCGTATGGCAAGGAGTTTCACAGACCAGTTGTGCATAGTATTAATATGTTGACACCTTTCAATGTTCCCATCACCATAATGTTAAAAAAATGATTTGCTTCACTTCTACCTGGTACTCTCCTCACCCTTTCATCTCAGTTTCAAGTGTAGGCTCTCTGAGGAAGGCAGAGAATTTTGGGATCTCTGAAAAAAGCTCAAAACCAAGAAGCCCTTCCCTTTGACTGCACTCTGTAGGCTGTTGAGCTATACATTGTCAGCAGTGATGATGGTGGTGTTTGACAGGACTCACAGGAATGGGGCTAGAAGGAACTGAGGGGGCCTCAGGACCACATCTGAGGTGTAACCACAACCAAGATCACGGGAAGAGCTCCCACACAAGTAAGCCCATACTCTTGCTTATCGAACCAGAACAAGACATTTGCTTGTTTCTCCAGAGTACAAATGGTTCAGAAGTTTGTTATCAGCTTGGGGTCTGCCGCGCTGCCAGCACTCAGACCCCTCTCATGGGGAGCAGTCGAATAATTGCTAAAACAGGGAGGATATGGCATAGCAGCTAAAAACTGCCACATTTCTTTATTTCTGTAAGCAGGCCCAAACCTGACCAACTTCTAATAAGTTACAGCGGTGATTAATTGGTTCTTCATTTTTCAAAAAATGTGGTTTAGTTTATATCTCAAGAATGCTGTCCCCGTTTCAGTTTTGGCTTAGGCTCACATGTAAAACGTCCCACCTTCCCCAAGGCCCTGTTTTTACATTCACTTCTTAGCCACATCAATACACCAAACCCTCAGGAGATATGATTTACTTTTGTTCAGCTCATGCCTTTCGGTGATGAGATCATGCTGAGCTGAAATCACTTGATGCAAAATCATCATTTTAAACCCTCAGTTGAGGAGGACTCTGAACTGGGGAGCTACTGCTTGTCAGCTAAGCCATAAAGATGGACCACTTGTATGTTTTTAGCTTTGTGAACTTCTTGCATGGTGACTGAAGCTTACACACTTCACCTTTACAACAGGCTAGGTTACAATGACAGCTGGCAAGTCACAACACAGGGGTAAACCGTTTGCCTGCGACTGTTGGGCTACGAGAAAATGAAGGCTGCAAGGAAGCATCAAAGCTCCTGACACAAGCGATTGCAATACTGATCTGGCCTTAGCTTCAAACCAGTTCTGGCCTCTGTGGCTACTTGAAGGCTTCAAAAGTCTGCTTCTGGTTTTCTGAAGATTACTGCTCATGCCAGCATGGGTCTATGCAAATGTGCACGTCTGTGCAGAGCAGAAAGGGGAATTCATGCACTGCTGGTCTGTAACTTAGCGCTGCTACTGCACGCAAGCTCGTGAGGAGCACGTCACCCAGACATAAGGAGAACAAGAGGTCGGGTGACCACTTCCCGGTGGTGAGAATGAAGCTTGAGTTCTGCCACTCTAAAAACCATATTTCTTTGCGGTGAACTTTTTAGACACTGTCAGCTAGAGAAGCAGATAAACACAGATACAGTAAGCAGAATGAGAAGACAGTATCATAAACTCTAACACATGCACCAAAAAAGGGCTGGAAAACAGAAAGGCAGCTAGACAAAGACAACAAAAGGAGCCTAGAGAAGAAGATACGTGAAGAAAAAAACATGAAAATTAAAGAGAGAGATTATTAGAGGTGTAATATAAAACAACAAAAATTAAAAGGGAAACATTAAAGGCAGGCAAGGGTGAAGTCATGAAGATTACTCTGGTCTGCGCCTTGCCAAACAGTACGTAACAAAACTTAAAATCGTTCCTCTGTGGTATTGTTGTGCTACATATTTTAAACTAGTTTCTCAACTCTTGGAAATCTGTGTAGCTTCATTAGCTTCATTATATGCCAAATCACATATTAGCTGAAGACTGGTCCTTTTCAGAAAAACAAGGCTTTTCTGCCAAAGCAACAGCTTTTACTAAAACCTCACTTGCAGTGTGATTTAGCACAACCTGAGAGCAAGCATGAAATGACTTGTACAGAGAATTATTTTAACTGAAATTCATTTTTGTTCTCGTTAAATGCAAATACTTAGCAAGCCGAGCAAGCTTATGATTCCATGTGAGACACATATAAAATATACTAAATTCTGAATCTTGACACTTTCAGAACGTTCCTTTTAGTAATACTACTATGCTACACTGTCTTGAATTTACTTAATTCATAATACTGGATTTTTGTAATCATATTTAAGGTGAATACTTTCTTTTAGACAGTTTTAAGTGACTAAGGTAACCTGTACTTTTTTGTTTGTTTGAGGGAGGATTTTTAGTCTTTAAACTCTAGAAAAATATATTCTTCTATCTGTTTCCTTCTGAATTGAGATGATTTTTGGATGGCATGCAGCCTCTTCGGTGGAGGAGTCCTCTGTATGAGGACTTCCTCATAAGTAGGAACATTTGCAAGCAAATAGAATGTTACAGTTAATGCAAAACATGTTTAAAGTACAGATCAAGATTTGACTTTTTAATATATCCTACTCTTTAAATTGTATACTCTGATTAAGATAGACCTTTGGTACGTAGTCTCCCTTACATATGTATGTAGACTTTATGACTTTTGCTTGTTTTACACCAGCTGTTCAGACCCATCTTAGATTGTAGTCACATGAAAATCATTTACATGCACCTGCTGGCTACGTAAAATAAACAGCTAGCATGGCCTGTTACAAAGCAGTACCGGCTTTCACAACTGACTAAGAAGCCACTGTATTTCATTTATTTTCAAAAATATTTTCTATTTTTGAAATGGAACTACATTAATATATTGCCTTTGCTTTACTGAGAAGGATAAAAGCAGTGGCAGAAGCTAAGGCAGATGTTTCGAAAGTGCACTGCAAGGAGCTGAAAACTGATGTGCTAAAACCCCCACCTACTTCTATTCTGCTTTTTTTTTTTTCCCAAAACTGCCTATATGGACAATGCAGAAAAGTCATTAACACTTCTAGTAAGCAACCTGACTAGCTTTTCCAGTTGGCCCAAGCATCATTACAGCTGACAGCTGAGGGACATCATCTGCATTTCCATGAGCAGATCGCTCAGTTTAACACTTGTGGCAGCTGACGGGTGGTGGTGCCCCGGCTCCCGCTCTCCAGTTTGGCTAGGCTCGGCTAGGCTAGGCTTGGCTTGGCTTGCCCTGCCCCTGCCCATCTCGTGCTGGTGGCGGTGCTCATCACACCTTCCCAGGAGGCAACACCACTCTGAACCAACAGAGAGTGAATCAATCACCCACTTTCTTCTGATTCTTCTGCCAGGTTGAGGGCTTGAGGTGAGGGTGGGAGCTGGGCAGCCTGGGCAGCCTGGGCTGCCACCGCCGTACCGGCCTCACGCCAACGCACAGAGGGAGTACCTGGCTCTGAAATGTCTGCTCTAAAATGTAAATGGCACAACAGTATAGCACCGCTACTCCCCCTCTAAGTACACTCTTGTAATTTAGGGTCTAAACATGACATTTGGTTACGGATGGCACGCACCGCCTGGCACACCTGCGAGCCAGGTTGCCGGGAGCTGGTGGCCGAGGTGGGTCTGATCCCAGTTCTGATTATCTAAATCCCATATAACTCCTTTAATACCCAAGGAGGTCCCGCGGACTTAGGCCGCAGTAAATCAGATCACGGTGTGCTCCTAGGATTTTAAAATGCATTATGAGGAACTAATTACTTATCACACCAATGTAATAATCACGCTTTGCAAGATGGCAGTGCAGAATGATTGATTTATTTTTCTTTTTTATACATAGTACTAAAAACGAGCCAAAAGTAAGCTGGGGGAGCTGAGAGCAAAACCTGCAGAATGAAATAAGACTCATTTCATAAGCAAAAATGGAGGGGGGGGGGAAATAACATTAAAATCTCTCTTGCATTTACCAGAAGTTCTGTTTGCAAATAAGCAGTAATAAATTATGATAAATTCTGTGCACAAAAAATTATACAAAATCTGAATGACTGGAGTAAACAGACTCATAGGCACCTTGCAGGGAGCAGGAAATGTTGCTAGACTGCATTAAGTATAGAACTGATGGTATCAAACGAGATCAAAGGTTAATTTACAGGAAACTCAATACAGTTACTCACTTGTTGATCTTGCAGTTTAACTCCAACTACCCTGAAGGTGTTAGTGGCCGTGTTGTGGTATATGTTGATTCTGCTGAATCCCTGCTGTCCGGGTTTGATTGGCACCCATTTCTTACTGGTATCGTCATAGACCATAACTGAAGCCCGGGCTTGGCAAATACTCTGTTCACTGGAGAGCAAAACCAACAAAATCAGGAAAAAAAACAGTGAATTTGCTGCATACTACTGAAAACATCTAAAGGAAAAGAAACCAACAGAAATCATCAGAACTACTTACAACATATGTTTTATAAGGGATCTGCTAACCCTTTGAATGCAATCTGCCTGTTAAATTAAAACTGGAATGTATGTGTTCATAGACTTAAAAAAACTACAGTGTGCTGCTGTTTTGAACTGATAATCTATTTTATATAAAAATATTAGGCCCTGAGGAATAACTTGTATCACACAAACGTTATGAAAACTGTCCAACAGTATGAATGCTCCATTTATTTTATGTACGTATTGGCAAGTGAAGCCTTTCACATTTGCATGAAAACTTACCAATATTTTACAGCTTACTGACAAAATAAACGTGACATCCGCAGCTGAGTTACACATTTAAAACTGGAAGCAAGCAGACCTCGAACCAAAAGCCACGTTAGGTAAACTGAAGAAATGAATTACGTTAATCCAGCTGACGCCTAATACCCAGACCCGCTGACGCACTTAAAAGCCTCAGAATACACGGTGCAAAACACAGAGGAACTCTTTTTTCCTTCATGCTAGTAGCAAAGAAAGTGGAAAAGGGGAATCCACGTGTTAAAGTACATAGCCATTATTCTGTATAGCATTAATAACTATTTTTCTTCTGTAGATCCAGAAATTCATCAGTTCTTTACCTCTTGCTTGCATATTCGTGACTAATATACATATACTAGATTTGTGCTAATACACACCCTTCATGTGCAAGAAATGCCACTGGCAAATACCGTTGAGGTGACATATCAATACGGATCAGGATTTCAACTCCCACTCTCCTGACTTCCCAGCCACTTTTCTTATACCAGAGGAAAAACGAGTTCCTTATACGAAGAAAAAAATGAATCCTCCAAATTTTGGAGATTTGAAATCTTCAGATGTAACAGGGATCTTCAACAAGCAAATAGCGCATCTTAGGCCTAAATAAAACTGTTAGCATTTATGTCCTGCAAAAATCTTAAGTTCACGACTGTCCTATTAACTTTAAGCCTATATATATTTATATATACTTCCCTTCCTTAGCCCAAGCCATATTAAAAAATTTTTGGCAATGCAATATCAAGTGGTAATCCACTTTGCACACAAATCCTTTTTTTCCCCCTTTTGCATATAGGTCTTTGTTTTCGTTTTGCCTCAGTAATGCCTCACTTGCACACAAATACACGATAAGCTACTGAGTGGTGCTAAACCATATCGCTGCACTGCCACTGTGCCAAATTACACCACTTGTAAATTATACCAACTGCTGCAAACCCAAACCCACCCAACCCCATCGCTGTCATCATTTTAATGAAAGGGAGCACATTACCGCAAGTATTAAGAGGATCTGGGTAGATTACAGCAGCAATTTTCAATCTTTTCTGATTTGTGGATCTCAAAAAAGATTTCCATGGCAGATGCATCCCCCATTGTACACTAAAGCCTACTGACTCTGGCTTGTTTAATCAGTCACTTCGCATAGCCTCCAGGTAGCCCACAGACCTCCTCCAGGCTGTGGGTAAGAGCCTGAAAACTCTTCACAATGTTTACAGAGGGAGCAATGACACTGGCAGACATCTCCATAAAGAACGAGGTAAGAAAATTCAGAATAAATTGTATTTTTATTACATAGCATGGAAACAGCTAGATTCTGTTACTGGAACAATATATTCAGATCAGAAAGACTAAACATTATTTTATTTATATTCTCTAGAATTTATAAAATCAAGCTCATCCACCAGTTGCTGTTGCTTTGTTATGCGAGATACCTGGAGAACAGCTGCACCTTTGCTGATGTGCTTGCCCAGCAAATACCTCTCCATCCCTTTTTTTAAGATAAGCTAATGTCTCGTGGCAGCTTCTCCATATCTGACACTAGCAGCTGAGGGATTTGAGCTCACTCCAGCATGCCTAATCCTTCAACTGGTGCAAGAGCCGCAGACTGGCAGCAGTGGCGGCATTGCCAGCATCCTCCAGACCTGCCTGGCGATGCTCACTCTGCCTCGGATTGACAGATTGGGAGGATGGGAGAGAAATGCACCAGCAAGAAGGCAAGTACACTGGATTAGCTTTGCCATGTGGAAGTGGAATGGCTAAAAACAATCTCTGGTGCGGTCCTGTGGCTGGATGGTGCCCACCTGCCTGTGCTGCCAGGTGCCTCGTGCCACCTCCAGCTCCAGAGGTGGGGAAGCATCAGTTGCCCAGGGCCACAGCAACCCCCTGCCCAGTGAGCCAGCAGGCCCCCAGAAAACATGGTCCCCAGGAGAGTCACACTCAGCCAGCGTGACGCTGGGTCCTTCACAGGCCTTGCCAGTCACTACAAGCCTTGCTGTACTAAAGTAAGCAAGAGCACGCCACTGGTTTCATCAGAGAAAGTCTGGGACCCAATGTTGTCTTCGTTTCAGGTGAATTTTGGAACCCACAATTGCCATGGGCTCCTTAATTAGTCAAAATTAATTAAATTATCCTTAAAACAAAGAGAACACACCTAACTGTACAGGCATGAGGGCCTTACCGTGGCATTATTTGTAATGTCATATCCAGATTCCAATGGATACAGCAACTTTGCCTTCAGACTTCGCTGCAATTGAAAACTGCAGCAAAGAACCCCCCTACAACCTCATGATTGAAATACGGATACAGACCCCAGGAGCAATATTTAATGCATGACAACCAATTGTTACTCTAACATAAAGCAACACATCAAGCTCAATCCCTGCTCTCCCTGCAGTCAATGGAAGTTTTTCATCATTCATTTAAATGGAAACAGGATTAAGCCTGTTATCTGGCCTCCAGTGAAATAACAGAAAGGAACATAAAACAAGTACAGCACAAGGGGAATCCTTTCCTGCAAAGCACTTCATCAATCTTTCAAAACCTAAAATGCCCCCAGGGACCCATTGCTAGCTTGCTGTCTCACCCTAAATGGAGGTGTAACTCTTTATGCTTGAAGACTCTTTACTCGTCCTACCCACAAAAAGCACAACTCTCCCACTGCCACTTTAAGGGGCTTCCCTGAAAACGGACCAGAAAACGTTCCTCTTATAAAGGTCAGTGAGTACCTCTCTATTACCCTCTGTGGAGTCCATTACTTTAAATGTAAATCAAGCAACGTTGGTTTCATGAAGCTCCAGCAAAATTTTCTGTTATTTTTGGAACCATACACCATTGATACTTATGTCAATTATGCATAACAGGTAATAAATATGGGTTTTAGTCACACTATTGTGCAGTCACATTCCTTCTCCATGAGAAGAATCTGGCAGATATCAGTATTTATACACAAAAATTCATGAGTGTAGCTTCTAGAATTTGCCTTATTTTCCTAAAAATACACAAAAGTTACTGAAAAATAGGTATGTGTGGGAGAAAATTCATCAAGTTTCACATACACTTCCAAATATTACTAATTCCCCTACTGATTTTTTATGTTACAGTAACATGCCAGTCATCAGACTCATCCACCTGGGTTTCCACCATAGGCAATTACTTGCAAAAAAGATAAAAATTGCATCATGAAGGGGTCTTAATTACAACATTGTTCATGTTTGTGCATAACATCTACTCCAATGCGCTGTAGTATGCTCTAGGGCAGATTTGAGACATTTTATTTATATGTGGAGGGGAAGGGGTTCTTACTAGGGACGCCTTTCCATCCAAATCCTAATATCCACCCCTATCTATTCTGAAAACATTTTCTCCTCAGTGCTTTACATCTGTGGGATGGCAAACCTCTGTACCAGGACCACTTGTTTGCCTGAAGTTAAAGCAAATCTGCTTAACTTCATATCTGATAGAAGCAGGCTGCACTGGGAAATCCTTTGTTCACAGCTGGTACCTAAAATCCAGCATTCATCATTGAGAATAGACTATTGTTTCAATATTACAAAATTATAAATTAAAAAAAATAGTTTGCCTCATTTTGTGTAACCCCTTTTTGACCCACTGTCTTCCATCTCTTCACAATTAGCTAATTTGGAGTTAACCCTTCTTGTAAGGGTCAACTTTGACCCTTCTTGCCCAGCCCTGGTGAGAGTGGGCAGCCAAGCACAGTGCCTGGGCTGCGTGGCATGCTTGGGCTGGCCACACAGATTTGCTGTACCCTCCTTGCTTTGCTAGCTACAGCGTCAGCAGCACTTCCAGCCCCAAATGAGTCACATCAAGCTTAAAGGTACCAGTTAAGGTACAGAGACTACTGCATTCGGGGAGAGCAGTTGGGGGTAGCAATGAGAATCATAGAATCATAGAATCGTAGAATCGTAGAATCATAGAATCATTAAGGTTGGAAAAGACCTCTAAGATCATCGAGTCCAACCGTCAACCAAACACCACCATGCCCACTAAACCATGTCCCTACGCGCCTCATCTACCCGTCTTTTAAATACCTCCAGGGATGGTGACTCAACCACTTCCCTGGGCAGCCTGTTCCAATGTTTCACCACTCTTTCAGTAAAGAAAGTTTTCCTCATGTCCAAATGAGGCTGCACTTCGAGACAGTGCTGCAATGAAGGCGGCTTTATCCAGAAATGTCTCTCCTTTTCCATCTGTGCAGAACTTGAAAAATGCAGTCCTGTCTTCCTGGCTTTTAGTAGATTTATGATTACCAGGGTCTCATAGCCAAAAAAGAGCCACAAAGGAGTATGGAAAAGATAACACAGGGAGTCTTAGGGAAAATATCTGTATTTTTTGTGAATTATCACATGAGACTTAATGGGTCTGCTTGACATCACCTGGCTGACTGCAAGTAATTAAATCAGAGGAGGAAACATAGGGGGAAATAAAATGACAGAAATGACTGTGGAGGTTGGGAGTGGGGGAGCCATGGATCAGGGAAAAGTCCTCCTGCTTCACTCTGCCTAGCCCAGTGGGTTATCCAAATATAAAAGCAAAAAGCTCAGGATGGAACCACAAAAGACCTGACATAGAGAATAAACAGAAAAAAGGAAGTAAATTGTAATGTTTGGAGGCAAGTCTTTGGTAGAGAGGCTCTGAAGGGTCTCCAAGGCTTTTCTCTCCTGTCCCGGCCTGAGAAAAAGACGAGAGGCCAAGCTGCACTGCTCCTTCATTGACCTGTTTTCCCTATCTACAAGGTATCTTCTTATGAATAAAACTTTTGCGGAGCATGGTACTGAGTTGCTGAGCCCACCTCTGAACAGTGGCCCTAGGCAGAGCCTGCCGTGGCACAGGGTTATCCCAGCCCTGCCCCGGACCCCCCCGTCCAGCACCAGCCACCAGAGGGAAATGGGAGAGGTTTAAAATACTTTCTCCTAGAGCCACAGCAATGTCGTACAGCTTTTGGAGGGTCACCGAATCATGCTCACAAAAGGTGTAAGAAATGATGGCAACTAACCAACTTCAGGGTTAAACATCTAATTCTGTGGGCTCTACTCCAGCATGCCAGCTGGACCAGGAGACTTCCACTATCTTTTATATTTACAGACACAACTGTTTCCTTGGGGCAGAAATTCACTTAGCATAAACTGTGAAAGCTCCCCTGATAGAAATCAAGCTATCATGCTTTGAACGTATTATAGATCTACCTTGTTTCAAGCTGCGCACAATACTCTCACTTTCAAATGAGCTGTTTTCAGCTATTCTTAGGAAATGCAGACAGCTACTTTCACAAACATTTACCTTATTTTTAATTTCTATTTCCCATCCATTTCCCCCCACGCACTATAAATGATTAATAATTAAAAATTAATTTGGACTGACCTAACCATCCTTATTGGTGTCAGAAATTGTTAATACTTCTTTGCCCAAGGCTTGTCCTACCTGGGAACAAACCCTCAGCGCACAGAATGTGTGAGATAACTCACAAGCCATTTAACACATCTCGCTCTACTTGTCCACTGTGTCTGCCCACAGAAAGTCACAGTTGTGTGGTTAAACCTGACATGCAAGAAATAGATGCTGATGCTGATTTAAGCAGCCAACAGAATTCTCTCAATGTCAGCTTAAACAGCTAATTTAAATACAAAATCTTGTATATGGAGACGTGTGGTCTGTGTGGTACGTATCTGTGTTAACCTCAAAATTAGTAAGCTACAAGTTGTGTTGCTGCAGTATTTAAAGTGTACTGCAAACTCAGATGGACTAATTTTCTAAACATTTTAATTGGTTCCACTACAACAAATATAATAATGACTGGGATGTAGGAAAAGTGTTTCAGTAGTAATCTTTATAGAAACAGGTGGACATTTTGCTCAGACAACTGGATTTATAGAACAAAAAACCTGGGAGACCCTCTGAACACAAGTCAGTCAGTCAGGTCATCTGGGCTCATACAGACCATCTGAGATCTGAGCTCATTACAGATAAAACTTTCTGTAGTGCAGTGGCTCTCCAGCCTTCCCACCAGAGATTCACCACCAGCTTTGCTCATGACCCCATTTCTCCAACACAGCATCAGTCATGCTTGTGACTCCTTCTGGGACCTCCTTTTTCAAAGTCTACTTTCCTCTGCAACAAAACTCGCAGGACAGTCGGTGTCACCATCGTTCACTCTACCTCTGTCCCAGAGCACTGAAGAACTTATTTCCTCAGCAACGCAGCAAAACCTCACAGTGAAAGAACAGCATTTAGCTGTTCCACTAAAGGACACTGGAAACCCAAAGGGACATCCAGATAGAACTTTTAATCCTCAGTGACATGAAGACACCTGAATGTTTTCTAGCAGACATTTAGAAAAATAGCAGTCACAGTTTCATATATAATATGGAGGTGCCACAGTGACTATCTCCATTTGCTTTTCTGAGTCCCACTTCTTGGGATCCCTTTAAAAACCAACCCATGGACCCAGTGGTCAGAAGTCCTCAATTTGCACTCACTCCTGCTTGCCTGCCTGTGCAGAGAGACCTCCACGACAGTGCTGCCCTTGCCCCAGTCAGCCTGAAGTGAAACCCAGTTCCCAGGGGAGCTGCTCTTTTTTGGTCTCCTGCTCAGCTTGCATGTACACATGTAAGATCTGCCTTTGGTGCTGGGCTTTGGCTGCATCGCCAGTGGGAGATGAGCCTTTTACACCAAGCATCTGCTGCAGGTGCCTGGCCATCATCTTTCTCCACTGTTAAACTCCAGCATCTAAACAGTTTAATATTAGATAACTACAAGAAAATAGTACAAATACAAAGCCTCCTTCATAAGCAGCTCTCAAAAAGACTGACGCTGTTAAATAAAGTCATGACACACCTGCAAGATAAATACATATTTTACAGAGCAGGAAACGGAAATACTGGTACCTACAGCGTTAACAAGAGTAAGATGAACACCAGTTCACCTGCACAAGAAAGAGTATTTAAGAGTTACTCTTCTTTCTGCTAACAATGAGGCATTAATTTTGAATTCTCCCTTATTACATTGGCATACCCAGTGGAAATTGCAATGTCCATTACCTGTTGCAGACATCCATTGCAGACACTTCAGCTGGAAACCAAAAAAGACACAGTTTATGAGGCACCCAGATCTCACGCTAAGCCAGGACTCTGGGAGATGAGTTGCTAAATTTGGGAACATGCATGCAATCCTGGCATGACCAGAGAAACTTGCATAACCTTCTGTCACCCCTCTGTGCTCTTGAGCACAGGACAAGAGAGTAGAAATAAAAAAAAAAATAAAGTATGCAAAACGATAATGCAGCAGAAGAGATGTGCCACCTGGGCCTGACTGCCAGTCCAGAGCAGCTCAGTCCTCAGCACCACCAGTGAAAGTCCGCGGAGAGCCCTGACCTCTCGGTGTCCGCCGCGGCACTTAAATAGCACATCTGTCAATCAGTGGAGATTTAGGGCCAGCGGAGTGGCCACAGATTGATGCCCTTGTAAGCCAGCACATCTGCTTAGTTTATGTTGCCGAGATTTTGAAACTATGTGGTGGAGTTAATTTTAATCTATCACTTTTCTGGTAGGTTTTGCAAACTGAAGCGTAATAATCTAAATGATTCTAAGGGGAACTGCAGTCATCAGTATCTCAACTCAACATCTTAAAAAAATGCTTTAAGAGAACTGCTTTGCAAAAGGCACTTCATAGTGGAAGTGTAGTGATTCAGAGAAGTGCCATTGCTGCCAGGCAACCAGACTCCCAGAGCCATGCCGCGCTCCAGGAAACTTTCCCTTCAGCTTCCACCTGCTCCAACAAGGTCAGGACACTGCTGTCTCCTAATGGAGAAACAGCATTGCTCTGTTAATGCTTTAATTCACGCAACATTTCTTTCTGCAGTGAAGTGTGGTTCACTTTCAGATTTTGCATACCACCTTGAAGATATACTTTGGGAGTTCCTACAAATAAATACCAAGTAAATGTTTAGAAGTTCCCAAAAATAAATCAGGTAAATGGCCTGGGGAAACACTATGAACCCAATTAGTCAAAAAAAGTAAAAAAGCAACTTGACTAGATCAGGTTGCTATTAATATAAACTATTTCCCTTCACCCTTAAATTGCAGAAATAAAAACAAGAAGTAACTAATCTTGTAAAATACACGTTATGCAAACCCCAAAACTGAACTGTCAAGTGAAAATACATGACTGAGGGCTCTCACTCATGGGCCAGCCACATCCATATTTCAGGAGAACAATACCTTAAACAAAGGCTTTGAAAGATCATAATCATAACTAATAGGAGAGGCAGACTCCTAAGTGAATACAGGAAATGAACATAAAGGTCTTTCATTAAAGCTGGTGTTGCTTTGCCTTTGTTTCCCTTCAGTCCAGAAATGCAAATAAACCTGTGACAATTCCCCTGGAGCTGATCATAGAATCACAGAATCATAGAATCATTAAGGTTGGAAGAGACCTCCAAGATCATCGAGTCCAACCGTCAACCCAACACCACCATGCCCACTAAACCATGTCCCTAAGCACCTCATCTACCTGTCTTTTAAATACTTCCAGGGATGGTGATGGAGGCAGACCAGGAATGAAGGAGGCTCACTCCGTCAAGTCAGCCTCTCCCTCACTGCCAGGGGATGCATATTAATGTAGCATTGCCATAAAAGCTTAATTATCCTACGAGGCTATAACCAAAACGCAGACCTTTTGCATTTATGACAATACACGCTCTCCTTCCCACCCAGTCACATTAACCCTGGTCAACAAACTCCCTGCCATCCTGCACAGTCCCCAGATACTTACGTGCCTGCCATCAAGGAAGACCTGGTCAGGTAATCCCGCAGGAGTATACGCTCAAGTCCAGCACGTGTGCTTAAACCCAAATAGGCTATTTCACCTGATTACTGAGCAGAAGACAAATTTGGCAGGGAGACAAGCCAGGAGTCTCTATGAAGCCTTATAACCAAAACAGGAAAGGGAAGCGCTATCAAGAAAGCAGAGGGCAGGAAGTAACACTTGTACAGCAGGGGCGGGGAAGGGACTTTAAAGAAGAAATGTATTCTTTCTTTCAGCTGATTTACTGAACAAAAGTACAAACAATATAGATTAAGATTAGATGCACCACCTTTGCCTCATTGGTGGCATGGATATTAAAAACATTTCACTTATTTTCTCAAGGTACAGGTTCACCATCCAAGAAAAAGAAAAAGCAAACAAACCTCAGACCCAGAAAAAATTGCTATTATTCATTTATGGCATGGGCGTTTGCATGGTGCAGAACCAAACCCTGGGGCCCCATCGGTACCAAGGGCCCCCGTCCTGCCTTGCCACCAGCCTAGCATTGCCTGCCGGTTGGCTGGGGGCCAGCTCCAGCTGGCACGGCACAATGCCCAGGCTACTGCACGCTGACTCCCAGCTACCATGGCAATACAGTTTTTGGGCGGGAGCTGCCTTACACCTGGCTAACTCAGGGTCCAGCCAGACCAAAAGCTTTTTTTTGGTCCATCTCCAACCCCGTTGTCCTACTTGGGGCACTACCATAAATACATAAACTAAGAAACACATCTTCACAAAAGGAGGTAAGCTATCAAGTAGCTTATAGAAGGACATGGGAGAAATCTCCAACATTTAAAAAACAAGACAAAATTTGCTCCATGGGGTATGTAAGCAGTGCATGCCCTCCCTCCATCACCAGCAGCTGGGAGAGCCCCTGTTTGGCTCAGCAGCGGGCTGAGCCAGGTGCCAGCCCTCAGCCAGCTGGTACCTGGCGACAGCAAAGATGAGACTTCATCACCTCTCCCCTGCCTGCCCCACGCTAAGCCTCCCACAATGGCATGACTTGGAGCAACCACTGCAGAGATCACAGCCATAAGCTGGAGGATACCTTATCTCACAGCTTCTGCTGTAGAAAACGTGCCATGCGCTATTGCCTTTCAAATAGTTAGTTCTATGTACCGTCTATTTTTTAATTAGCGTGCCTTGCAGAACTAAGCCTCCTTGACCGTGCTGTGCCTGCAGGAGACCCCTGAAAGACTATAAGCCTTCATTTCCATCCTGCCATGAGCTGCCTACGTATGTGTTTGCATGCGTCCACGTTCCCATTAACAGGGAGGTTGTTTTTTCCCCTGCAGTAACGCTTCCACCTCCCTTGCTATCTCTGCAGGCTCTCATTTGCCTGCTCTGCCGCTCTGTTAACTGGGCGATGCCATTTGGCTATGGCAGCAAGACGGCCTATTAACACAAATTAAAACTTTGCAAATTTAGGAATAATAATTAAAAATATTGCAGCAAAAAGAGTGGAGGTCTTGGAGAGCAGAACAGCAAATTAATACTTTAGTGCTACCTCACCCGGGGTAAAACTGCAGCGGTTTTGATGGGCTGCCTCTCAGAGGTGGCAGGCCCCTGCGACAGATCATCCTCCTTTTCTCCCCATTCCTTGGTTTGGCAAACTTGTACACATGGATGTAAACACCCTGCAAACACTGTCTAGTCTTCCCAGCTTCACCTCAGGGTATGGGTGCATTATGGCATGAGGAGATTAACAGCAGAGGGAGAACCAATGCCAGGAAAACACGACAGGGAGAACTGGATGGACCCTGCCGTGGTCTGGCTGCAAGTAGAGAAAGCTGGGGTTTTCTTCCCGTTTTCACATGAAATTATCTTTGGGGGTTTTTTTGTCAGTGTGCTCACAGGTTCTCTTAACGTGTCTAAATACGTCACCTGTTATCTGTGATTACACAAACATGGACAGTGCAAATACAAAATGCAAACAACTGCAGAATAAACCCACGGTATGTTCAGAGATCCCAACTGCCTCGCCGTACCTCTGGCCATCACAAGCTCTCCCTGCCTGACAACTTTACTTCCTTTACCTTAATAGCACTTTTTGACACACATTGCTTCTCCCATGGCATTACTTGAGCCACCCCACGATGTGATCCTAGGAAAGTAGTGCAGGATCAGCGTGTGGAAGGGGATAGGAAGGGTCACACCCACTTGTGTGTCACTGCAGCATTTTGCTGAGCCACTTTGTGCCCACCCAGGCATTACAAAAACCAGGAATGGACACATTGCCTAATCTGAACCCAGTTCCCTAAAATGCAATGCAGATGAACTATCTCCCTCCTGTAAACCATTGCACAAAATCTTATCTTTCTCACCTACTTTGATCCCTTTCACCCATCTGCCCAAACTCAACCTGGAGCAGCGGTGGCACCCAGGTAACCTCCCGAAGCATCCCACAAATGGCAGAGCTGCTCAGCTCTTGAAGACCTGCTGGAAACACAGCAGGGACCCATGATTTTATCACAGAGGCAGCATGTAGCATCCTATGTACATGGGCTTTCTCTGGGAGTCAGCACCGGAGGCTCTGAAGTCTCCACTAATGAGAGCAAAACCTGCAGAGCCCTGAGGAGACCAGTCCTCAGGAAATCACACAATCCCTCACGTCCTTGCAGTGATTTCAGAGTGCATCATACATGTGAATAACCTTAGATTCCTGTTTAATATAGCAAGAAGAGAGGAGTGTAAGAAATAGGCTGAATTTGGCAAGGCACACCAGCTACATAAACACTTCAATGCAGTTTCTTTTGGGGAGCAAGGGCTACAAACGCCACTTTACCTGAGCAGAGGAGCAGAGTGCTTTTCACGTCCACCGTTTTTCCTGTTATAAAAGATTGCCTTCACGGTCCAACTGAAAGACCTGCAGCAACTATTGGTGAAATGGCACCTAGTAAAAACATCGGTGTCAAAATGTGGTCGCTGTCACGGTTGCTAGTGCATCACCCGTTCAGCTGCAGCTTCCGATTCCTCTGCAGTAAATCTCTGTATGACTGAAGGGTTTCAGTATCCAACTTATGGGGGAAGTTTAAAACCCAACAAGAAATAAAGTTCTCACTGACATTTAAGCAAAGCTTTTTCTATTGTGTTTTTTTCTAATGTCTTTTTTTTCTGTTTAATGAAACATTTTATTACCACTTTTCTGGGATTTCAATTTGGCTGCATTTTCCTGATACTACACCTTTCTGCTTTGAGATCTGGGTGGATTTTGGGCACTACCTTGTTTCCTTCAAAAAATCCTGCTTTTCATGAATTTAAAACTTGACTTTATCTGGAGTCAAGTGGCAGTTCCTCTGTATAGCTCATACACTGCTTAGACTATTATTGTAGTGTTTGTCCGTGTAAACAGTACTTTACTGCATATTTTAGAAAAGAAGGACATAACCTGAAAAATGCATCTCCAAATAACTAATTGCCCAGCTCAGCCACACTGGCTCCACTGTTCTAGGCAGAGGGATACAGGAAGACGGACTAAAGAAAGCTCTGAGCAGCCTCTTTATTTCTGTTTTCATGTGTCTGGGATAGATACAGTCACTGATTTGGGGGGAAGAAGACAGCATTCAGTTGTCAGAATAGTTTCCTGCTAGACCAAGCAGATATGATTCTCCTCACACACAAATATCAGCTACAATAATATCAGCTAGAATAATCTGGTTTTAAAGATTTGGTTCTCCTGGACACAAACACCTTCGAGCACACCTGAAAACTCCTAGCCTCCCCCCAACTCCTGCTAGCACCGTGCATGCCCAAAGCACAGCAAAGAGCAGGTCACTACTGACACATCCAATGTCACGCGGGGAAACAGTGACAGTGAGTGGGACAAAGCCCAGTGCTGCCTCTCAGTGCTCCTGTCATAAAGCAAATTAATTTCATTAAACACTACAGCGTACATTCCAGCAGAAGTGCCTCTAATCACCCCTTTGCATTGCTAAAATGCCTCCGTGGCCCTGGACTAGAAAGGGAGCACTTAGAAGGAAACAGGACTCTGGCACAAATGGCAAACGAGACCCAGTAGCTGATTTCTAGCGGGTCCTCACAAAGGACCGTATGCTGGATGAACAGATTATTTCAGTCATGTGTTGAGATCTGTGTGAGAAGATCAGGATTCCTGAACACAGAAGCCAGGCTTTAGTTGCAATTATGTGAATATTCCCCTAGATTTCTGAGCAGCACGTCTGCTGGCCACGTACTAGGCTTTCACATTCCAAAGACGTCCAAGTAATGTATTCACTTTCTTTTGGAAAGTTTCATTACCAGATGAAACATGATTTGTATGAGACAATAATGTTCTATATTTTCAATCCTTAGAGCTACAGACTGAACCCAGAAAGGTGACTCAGCCTCGAAATGACTCATCTCCAAAGACAAAACCCAATTAATTTTTAAGAATGAAATGAAGATGCACTGCAGAATGTGTTGTGTATACTCTAAAAAGACTATTACAATCATAATACAAAAACAAAACTGTAACCATCTAAGAGCTATTTGACGGCAGACGTGATTAAAACATTTTTTCTTAATAAGCATATATTTCCCACCTTTCAAATAACTTTTTATGCATGTGTATCTGTTGTTTTTAATTCAGTGTTACTCCAAAAAGGCATCTTATTATACTGCACAAAATTCAAAATTTGCATACAGCAGTCTTTCGTTTAATGACCTCATGATTAAGAAAACTGAAAGTTCACACTGAAACTATACACTCAAATTTCATAAACTACAAGAAAATTGGATGAATATATGCACAAATGCTACATAACAGCATATAAAATATGCAGTTATATATTCAGATTCGCAAAACTAATTTCACAGCTGTTAATAGTCTTTGAATGTAAGACATTTCCTCATACACTGAGATTTGCAACTGCTAAACATGCTGATGAGACAAAAGAAATTCCTTATCCTCAGAAAGTTTAACCCTGTATGTTAATATATGCTAGTGCTCACTCAAATCTTTTTTTCATGCTCTTCACTCATTTTAAAGGAGCAGGA